AGAAAATAGTGTATTTGGTTATCTTTGGGATACAGAGCTAGGCAAAGTGACCTTATTTTGACAATAAAAATATCACATATGTATGTATGGATTGTGACAAGAGTTTTTTGAGCCGCTAATAAAATGATTTTTAAAAGTATCACCTATAAAAGGGAAAAAGAACCCCTGACAAATAGGATTTCAACAAAACTGAAAAGATAACATATACACTGGGAGAAAGATTGTAAATCACATATCTAAAAAAGGACAAGTATTTAGGAAATACCAAGAAATTTAAAACTCCATAGTGAAAAATCAAATAATTCAATTTGAAAATGGGGAGACACATGAAAAGATAATTTATGGAACAGGATATACAAAGGGAAAATAAGCACATGAAAACATGGTTAGTGCCATTTGCCATAGAAAAATGTAAATTAAACCTCAAGATGCAATAATACACTTATCAGAATGACTAAATAGTAAATAATATTAAAATCAAATGCTGATAAAGGTGTAGAAAAACTGTATAGGACTTGCATTGCTGATGTGCATCAAAAATGCTATATAATTCTGGAAAACTGTTTGGCATAGTTCTTCCAAAGCTAAATATACAGCTACCATAGAGCCGAGCATTTATTTATTTATTCATTTATATATTTACTTCTCAGAGAAATGAAAGCCTTTTAATTTAAAAAAATCAGTATATAAAGGGTTCTAAGAGGTTTATTATTTGAAATAAATGCCCCTTTATTGTTTGAAGCCTTTGGACACGTTTACGACTACTGAAGAATCGGTTTTGAGAATACTTACTAGTGTCCTCACTGGTTTTGTGAAGGTGTGGACTTTTTGATGCCCTTATTCCACCATGTTCAAAGTCCCTCAGCCTTTATTAAATGGATGAGGGATTTTGGTAGAAAGAAATTTAGGTAAATTATTTTTAATTACAGGCACTATTTCCTTAGGGATGCCTAAGATGATGCTCTGATTATGTCTATGGGTGTGTGTTGGTGGCAGTAAACGTGCACATTTGAAAATCCTGCTTGTTCCCAGTTTTTCATGCATATCAATACATACCAAAAATTAGCAGCTTAAGACATGTATTTATTTAAGACATGTATCGTGTATTTAGTGCACTTATCTATAATTTGTTTAGTTGTGGTGGAATATGTTCATCTCTGTTTGGGATTAGCTTGGCAGCTGCACTGGGCCTAGATGGCTCAATCACATAATGGACAATTGACTGCTTATTGTCATTTGGGAGTTCATCTGCTTAGGGTACAAGGCCTATCACCAGGGATAATTCGTACTTCCTCGCGACATAATAAGGATCCCTGATGGTACAATAGGTAAAGTACGTATCTGCTAACAGAAAGATTGGTTCTTTGGGCCTATTGGTGAGAAGAGACTTGGCAATCTGTTTCGCTTCATCAAATTGACTCCAAAGACTCACAATGACCCTAGAGGCCAGGACAGAACTGTCTCTGGGAATTTCTGAGGCTGTAGGTCTTCATGAGAGCAGAAAGCCTCGTGTTTCTTCTGCAGAGTGACTAATAGGTTTGAATAGTCAACCTTGTGGTTAGTAGCCCGTTGTATAACCCACCATTCTACTAGTGCGGTACAGTAGTACAGTGTTTATCTTATTCAACCATAAATACCCTAGCTTAGAAAACTAAATGGAGTAGTTCTATGCTCGTTTTCTATGACTTGGAATCAACTGGAGGGGACACAACCACAGCGTTCCATTATGATGTATTCTAAGAGTATGTGCCTTTGAGAGCTAGGAAGAGGCTGTGTTTATTTAATGAGTCAAACTCAGAGATCATATAGGATCATTCCCACTATCATCCAGATCCATGAAGGGGGTATAGAATCTCGTGCCATAGTCCTACTGCTTGATGGGTAGAGTACCATAGCTTCTTTGTAAGAAAAATATGTGAGATGAGAAATATTGTGGTTACCTTTGGAAAAAACAATCTGCCCCAATGTCTTAAAAAAAAAAACCCAAACCAACTGCCACTGAATTAGAATTGACTCATAGTGACACCACGGTGAGAGTGGAACTGCCTTTGTGGATATCTGGGGCTTTATATCTTTATAGCAGCAGAAAGCCTCGTCTTTCTCCTTGGTGGTGGGTTTAAAGGGCTGAAGTGATTAGCAGCACTGTGTAACCCACTTCACCACAAGGATTCCTTAAGACAGTACATGTTTGGCCATGTATGTAAGGTATATGTGTCTAAAAGAAAGGATGATTTAAGAATAATAAATAACAAAATCCAAATCCTAAGAAAGGAGCTTTAATTGTGAACACCCAATTCGTAGAAGGCTGTGGTTAACATAGGGATCTCCAAATCTTTCTATAGGGCACCTACATAGACTAAACCTCTGGGGGATCCCCTCTGACCCCAGTCAAGGGAAGTGCTCACAGATGGAGACTATCGTAAACTTGATTATGACAAGTGGAATTAGGTTATAATGTGGTACCTGGTCATTTGATCTCTCTCTGGACCCATTTTGGATCTGTTTTCATTTCAATGTTTCCTGCTTTTTTCTTGACAGAGGTTTTTTTTACCCCTCTGACTTATTTGAATATAGTTGTTGGTCTTTTCTTTCTTAAAAAAAATAGCTGTTTTCATTTGTTTGTTTTGTTTTGTGTGTTTTCCAGTATATAAAATAGGATGTGTGGCTATATAGAGACAATTAGTGTATGGCTTATCAAGAAGTCAGGGAGGGGCAAGTTGAAGGGAAATGTGAATACAGCAAATAATAAATACAGGAGGGCGCGAATGTTCTACAACTGACTGTGGTGATGTGTATACACTTATGTTAAATAAGACTGAACTATAGAAGTGTATGGTTTGTGATATATTTCTCAGTAAAGCTATTGGAAGAAAGAAAAGATCTACGGTCAAAGGCTCCTATTTAAAAAACCAGGAAATTTTATTTAAAGGAGGATTTCCCTTTTTTAAAGTATGATAAAATTGATCATCTATTTCCAAAGCTTATATTTTCACAGCATCCCTGGCAAGTATTTTTCATCATGGCTTCTCTATAATCTATGTCATCTTTGTTGTAATATTTTTAGACATTTACCTTAATTTGCATGGCAGAACTATTAGTAATAGTAATATAACTAAAATAATTAAAATAACACATTTAACAACAAGAACTCTAATTATAAGGATATTTAAATGATATTTTATTAAATTCTAGTTCTTGAATTCTAAGGCACACTGTTAGTGAAGAAAGAACAAAATTATATATATTTCAAATCTTTATGTGCAGTGAACTTGCTTGACATCATGACTTCCTTGCACATTCATTATCTGAAAATGCAAGAGCTTCTCTGGAGATCCTTTGTTTATGAGGAAATATAGACTACTTGATTATGTATGCTGTATTTCCCTTTGCATCCTCTGGAGAGTTCCACGGCATCCAATGACCAATAGTGAGTATGCTTAATCACTCTTGTAGCATGTTCTACACTGTCAATTTCCCTAAACAAATCATAATTTTGTTTTCTGTCCATTTGAGAGATATTTACTATAAGCAAAATACTAGTTTGTGTATTTTGTATTGTAGGAAGTTGAGATCAGGATAGCTTTATGCAGTTCTAATCTTTCTGCCAAGTTATTTTTCATTCTAATTACTAATTGATTCTCTAGTCCCTTTTTCTATAAACAATATTTCTGTAACAGTGTAAATACAGATTTCTTAAATCTCACATCAAACTCAGAATGGCTATATTTTAGAAGAGAAAATTCTTTTTCTATTAAATATCTCCAATTTAATCCTATAAATGTCTTTCATCTCTAATGTCCTCACCCAAGTTAACGATGCTTTTGCTAATGTCTTAGATGTTATAATAGTCTATTGACTGGTCATTTACTACCTGTCTTCTCTCTATCTCTTCCCATTTATCTAATGGTTCACAATGGAAAGTATGTGGCTTTCAGAATGAGTCTATTTCTAGGCATCTAGGTGTTATAGTCAAAGAATAAGAGGAGAAATAAATCAATTTTATGCCTAATTCATGAGTCAGTCATTCAAAAGACACACCCACTCTCCTGACTATAATAGGAGTCCTCCTGTTTACATGGCAAGCTGTCTTCACTAGAGCCTTGATTTATCTTTTATTACCTTCGAGTCTAGAGATGTCTTTTTTGTGTAGTTGCTATATAAATGTTTGTTCAATGAATATATCAAAACCCCACCAACTTTTCAGAAACAGTTTGTTAAAGCTTAACTGGTATAATAACCTCTTCGACCTATCTAACATCTGGCAATAAATTGGTTCACTTATTTTCACCAGGTTCCTTAGATAATTACTTGGTCCTCAGAAGTTTCTGCAGGGCAGTTACTATCAAGCTTATTTTCAAAAGAGAATACTTAAAAATTCTAAAATTTGCACAAAATCCAGTATGGATTTAGGGCACTGACTGCAGGCCAAAGCCTTCCAGAGAGCAAGTGCCTTTAGGTTGCAAGATGTAACACAAACTAGAACCCCATCACAGGGTTCCCTACACTTTATTTTGCGTGGTCCACACAATCATTGTGTGGGGTCACAAAGACTATAGTAACAAAAGCCATATTAAGTAATACACTGCACAACAATACCTTAAATTCATGTTAATAGCATTCTTTTATATGCATTAATATATTTAATCATATTATTTCATAAAAATAATAAAATGATTAAAAAAAGAAAAGAAATGGACAACAATGCAACAAAAAAAAAGAAAAAGAAAAATATTACTAAAATAAAGGACAATATTAACAGCATTCCACAGGCCTCTGAATTCTGGAACTAAGATCCTGAACATCTCCTCATATAATCTTTTTATTTTCTAATTTATGATTGAGACATAGAGGTAGGTCATTTGGCCAAAGGAGTAAAAAAGTTAGTGATTGGGCTGAAACTCAGTTATCCTCCTTTCCACTTATATGATAGACAATCCATTTTTAATTTAATGAGTGAATAGCTGCTTTCCTAGCAGGCATATAAGACAGTCACGGCGAGTTTAGGGGTTTAGGCTGCTTTCTGGAGACTCCTGGGGGCCTTGACACAGAAGCCTTCCTAGAGCTTGCTTCACTTCCTTGTTCCGCAGAGTGTAAATGAAAGGGTTGAGCATTGGAGTGACTACTGTGTAGAAGACTGCAGGGACCCCACTCCCTGCTCCACCGGAGTGAGGCTGAAGGTAGATACAGACAGGCGGCATGTAGTACAAGAGCACGACTGTGAGGTGGGCAGTACATGTAGAGAAGGCACGCTGCCGACCCTCAGCTGTGCGGATTCTCAACACTGCTCCCACAATGAAGACATAGGATGTGATGATAAGGATCAGACAGCCTGCTGCCACAATGCCAATGTTGGCAAGCATGACAATCTCATTGATGGTCGTATCTGCACAGGCAAGCTTTAGCACAGGTGGGATATCACAGAAGAAGTAAGAGATGTGGTGTGGTCCACAATAGAGCAGGTGGAAGGTGAGGGAGGTATGGATGGCAGAGTGTACAGCACCTATGGCCCACGTGATTGCAGCT